GGTTGTTGTAAGAAACGTCAGGACTGTTCCTAACCACGTGAGGGAGTGACGCAAGCATGGGTGGCAAAATTAGAAATCATAGATATTAAAATAAGATATTTAAACAGCATAGATATTAAAAACATAGATATTTAAATGACATAGATATTGAAACAACATAGATATTAAAAAAACATAGATATTAAAAACATAGATTTTTAAAATATAGATATCTAAACGACATATATATTAAAAAACATAGATATTTAAATGACATAGATATTAAAACAACATATATATTAAAATAACATAGATATTAAAATAACATAGACAACAGAAGTAAGATTGAAAAAATAAAATGTGGATCCCAACTACGAACGTTGATTGATTGAGTGGACGGCTTAATGGATGAAATAATACTAGATGGACATATGAATGAATAAATGAATAAAAGAATGTATGAATGAATGAAAGAATGAATGAATAAATGAAAGAATGAATGATAGAATGAAAGAATGAATGAATGTAAGAATGAATGAATGAATGAATGAATGAATGAATGAATGAATAAATGAATGAATGAATGAATGAATGAATGAATGAATGAATGAATGAATGAATGAATGAATGAATGAATGAATGAATGAATGAATGAATGAATGAATGAGTGAGTGAGTGAATGAATGAATGAATGAATGAATGAATGAATGAATGAATGAATGAATGAATGAATGAATGAATGAATGAATGAATGAATGAATGAATGAATGAATGAATGAATGAATGAATGAATGAATGAATGAATGAATGAATGAATAGATTAAATAACAAATGAATTGTTGACGATATGGTTCATTCAGGCAAATGAAAACATGGTTTGGCAAACACCCAGATATTAAAATAAATAGACATTGAAATAACATGGACATTAAGGTAACATAGACATTAAAATAACATAGTATAAAAATATTAAAATAACATAGATATTAACATAACATAGATATTAAAATAACATAGATATTAAAATAACATAGATATTAAAATAACATAGATATTAAAATAACATAGATATTAAAATAACATAGATATTAAAATAACATAGATATTAAAATAACATAGATATTAACATAACATAGATATTAAAATAACATAGATATAAAAATATAATAGATACAAATGTACAATGAAATTTTTTAAACTATTTTCACAGAAGGAGGCAAACTCGGATGTAGGAGCGGATGAATGATTGTGCTATGTTGCATGTTAACGATAGAAAATGCTCTGCTGGAACATCCAACGGTAAGGCACGATTTAAGATTCCCTTTAAAGAATTGTTTTAATGACGCTCTATGCGATTTCTGACCAGTGTGCGTGTGCGTGCGTGTGTGTGTGTTTGGGTGTGTGCATGCATGTGTGTGTGTGTGTGCTGTGTGTGTGTGTATATAGGTATTACAATTGTTTAGTAAGTTCGTAACGGGTTTACAGAAATACAACTTTTAAAGAAAAAATTTAACAATTTTATTTTCTATATTTTGAACAAAAACCACATCACCACCATCATTATCACCATCATCATCGTCATCACGGTCATCATCACCGCCATCACTTAAGACCAAATTGTATTTCAATTTTTCAATTTATAAGCGCTGACGTACAACGAGGAACTCGCCTGCAAATAACATCACAACAATTCTGCTCCAGCGATAGAATGGCGCACGATGAAATGGCGACGAAAACAAGAAGCCGACGAAGGAGCGCATCGCGAGCGCAGTTGGTGAAATTTGAAGAAATAAGAGCATGAATGTCTCTTTTTACATAAATAAGTTTGCCAAACTCAAATCTAAACAAATTCAATTGATATTCTTAAGTTTTTGGAAATAAAGTTTTAAAATTACAATAATAAAGCAAAATGGTTGACGTTATTTCTTGATTAAACTAATTGGTAAGAAGTTTTAAAAATGTATCTTCCAAAGTCAAATTATATGCAGTGTGACTTAAAAATTCCATTCCTGACATGATGTAATAAGCTGGCAATAGCAATATTGCTGTTAGACGTTTGTCCAGTTTGAGGTATTTGGATTTGCTGGCAGCTTCGTTTCGCTCCCCCGCATTGTACTGAACAATTTTGTCTTTCAACTTTAACGAGAGACAATTCTGGCAGATCCAGAATTTTGTGCTGGCTGGAAGATTTTCAAAATTTCAAAGTTGATAAACTTTTTAATGGTTGAGCTGATGCCAGTTTAAATTTTGCACAGAATCTTAAATATATTCGCATTCCATGGTCTGGTGGTGGGATGCATCCTGGCTGGCAACATCCCTACCTGAACAGTCAACGTGAACTTTTTTTCAAGTAAAAATATTTACACTCTAAGCAATATTTTAAATATTAAACAAAATTTGGAACGAATAATATTCTAAACTTTTAAAATTGCAAATGAGAAATTTTAAAATTCATTCTAGCAAGTCGTCAAATGTAGAGGAAAGCAGTGGAATGAAATAGCAGAAAAAAATGATTGATTCGTTTGGCGCGAATTGTGAAAGAGAATTTTTAAATTTCATTCATCAACATCCAAATTTATTATCATTAAAATTATAATTTATTATTTATTTTTGCTCAATTTAATTAGAATTATAAGCAACATCAAAAATCCTTTCTGACACAAAACATTTAATGTATAACTGCATTCAACATACAGATAACAACTTTAAATGAAAATTGTCTATTAAAGTTCAAATTTTTGTAAAATAAAATAAACAAAAGAAGGACAACCCATCGGGAAACAACAAAAAAAACTACATCACCAGCAACCTCCGAAAAGACACAGCAAAAACATGCCGTCAACATCGGCGAAATCACTTTGAAGCGTCTTTCTGTTGCATTAGAGTGTATACATCTATTAATATGCGTGCTGATCGCTCTCACATGTTCAACAAATATATCTCAATCAACAACAACACTAACGACACATTCCGATGAACGTCAACAACAACAACAACACACAACAGCATTACAATAAACATTAACAACATCATTAGCGACATCATTTCACATCTGAAAACTTTATTATTAAGCAATTATGACAGAATGTACAAAAGGTACATTGTTGCATAGACTATGTAACATGTTGCAAACTATGTGGCATGTTACAAACTCTGGAAAACGTTCGTTATAAACAATATAATGTGTTACAAAGTACAGGATGTGTATCGGCATAAAGAGCTCCAGGCGAAGTCAATTAATATCGTAAACTTACTCAGTGACGTCATTAATTCTCACGTGTTTATGGTTTTTTTGCAGTTTATTTTCGCTATCACGTGGTGAATAAAACAAAGACGCACAGACATCAGATTTCATCTATTGTAAGAGCCAACAGGCTTGAGATGTATAGAATATATTATGATAATTAGTAAGGTGTGTTCATGAATTTTTTTGAGTCAGAAAATATTCTTCTATCATCTGTCCAATATATATTAGGCTATTTGTGATGTTTCCTGTGGCAATGGGTTGGTGGAATGCAAGTGACGGTGTATCGATTCCGTTAGCTTAATGCGACATATACGTGATATGTTAATGGCTCATTAACTGCACGGCGCATATGCTAATTATTCATTAAAGGAAAATATGCACGCAGCACATATCTAATGACCCTTTAGCGCTATATGCTAATTTCCATACAATCTGTTTTTTATAACGTACGGGCCTGGATCAGATACACATCATTCTATAAGACTGCCTTCTTGCCAGGTCTGTGAAGAGCTGACTCGATCTGAACCACGAACCACACGTCTGTGCCTCACTCAATTGCCATCATCATCTCGCTATCTTGAGCTTGATGATGACGACGATGATGATGATAAAGATGGTGACGACGATGATGATGATGAAGACGATGATGATAACGACGATAGTCATTTATATTCATACCCACGTGGAGAGGTTCAATTTTCAGTTTTGAAAAAGTGGATGTAAAATTTTATTACGTAGCAATTCAACGAGGGGCAGTGTTTACCGCGCAGTTTAAATTTACATGATCTGTTAAGATATTTTCCATACACCGAGGCACATTTCGTTACAAAATGTTTCGTTTCGTTTCGTTTCGTTGGTGTTTCGTTTCAGAAGCATGCAATGCAGTCAACTGATTTGAGCAGCAACAGTTTCATCATTATCTTCATCATCGCCAGTGACATCATCATCATCACCAGTGACATCATCATCATCATCATCATCATCGCCAGTGACATCATCATCAGCATCATGACAACTCAACCCCTGCAAAACATTTGCTTGACCCTGTAACCGCCATTGTTTCGCCCTTTCAATACGCACGCATATAAAACACACTACTATTACTATTATTATTGTTATTATTTTAAAATAATTTTAATATGGATTATGGTTAATGAATGTCTGTGTGTGGAGTAGGTTTGCTCGTGTGTGTGTGTGTGTGTGTGTGTGTGTGTGTGTGTGTGTGTGTGTGTGTGTGGTTGATAATGGCAAAGCTGATCATGATAGTACAAATGATGCTATTGATGATGACGACGACAACGACGATGATGATAATTGTGAGATAAACCACACCACCGCCAGATTAGCGATTACCCCAAATCATCAACTACGACCAATATGTTTGTCAGAGAGCACAATGGGTTGGACGCCATTAGGTCAAAACAACAAGAACAACAACAGCAACGACAACAACAACAACACCCACATCAGCATCAACAACAACATTAACAGCAACAACATTAACAACAATCAACAAAAAAACAGCCAAAAAACATCAACAACAACAGCAACAACTTCATCTTCCTAGACAATACAACAACAACAACCTAAGCAACCTAAACAACAAATCAACATAAAAACAACAACAGCAACAACAAAACAGCAGTTACAGCACAATCAACAGCAACAACACAAACGCAATGAACAAATTAATAATATCATTAAATACGATTACCAACATGATGACATAGCTTCACACCATAATAGTGAAAATTACGAGAGTAAGGAAAATAAAATGGCGTCACTTAATACGTCACGAAAAGTTCAAACCATAGACAGAAAATCTTAACAGTAAAAATGCTGGCGTCATTTTTTTGATCCAACAGACATTTTGACCACAATAATTAAGTGCTTGTAACGCTGGCGATAACCTTCAATAAGAGGGTGATGATAGAAAATGATGGAGAAGATTAGGAGGATGAAGATGAGGAGGATGAAGAGGAGGATGAAAATGAGGATGAAGAAAAAGATGAAGATGAAAATGATGATGAAGAGGAAGATAAGAATGAAAAGGAAAATGAAGAAGAGGATAAAAATGAGGATGAAAAAAAAGAGGATGATGATGAAGATGATGATGAAGAGGAAGATGAGAATGATGAGGGTGATAATAAAGATGATGACAATGATGAGGATGAAGATGATGATGCTGAAAAAGAAGGGAATAATGATAATGAAGAAGAAGAGGATGAAAATGAAGGGAAGGATGAAGAAAAGAAAGACAAAAACGAAATTGGTGATAACTAATGATGATGACGAATAATCATTGATGAACGCTGATTGGTTTCAATAATAATGCGAGGCTGTGATTATCAACTAATAGTGATGATGACGATGAAGATGATGATCTTCTTCTTCATCATCGTCGTCATCATCATCATCGTCATCATCTTTATAAGCTTTGCCATCATCATCAACTTGACCGTCACATTTCTTATTTTTATACCACAATCATTATCATTAATATCTTTTCCACAATCACTATCATCATCATCCTCTAAATTGAAACTTGATTGTAGCTTATTAAACCACCACCATTAAATAAATTAATAAATAATAAAAAAAAATAATACATAAAAAGTTTTTGTCCGTGTGTGTATGTGTGTGTGTGTATGTATGTGTTTGTGTGTGTGTGTGTGTATGTATGTGTGTGTGTATATGTGTGCACGTGTGTGAAACATAAAAAAATAATAAAAAACTAATATAAGTATGCGGGCAGCCAAAGTTGATCACCTCTCAAAATTACATTGGTGGCTTACGCAAACTGATCTACAAACTGATCGTAACTTTCATCTTTCCCCGCTTTCTTCTGAAAGGTTTGAAATAGACCATCTGTGCAGTGAAGTGACTTCAACGACTTCAACGAGTAAGAACCTGGCTGTTCCCAGTTGAACTTAAATGAATTTTATGTGATGGGTGAATTTGATTATTTTTAATAAGATTATTGATATCCAAGTAAGTTTTTTTGTTAAAAGGGTTGTCACAGTACCTAATCCACGCTGGTACAAATACGAAGATGGGAATTCAAGCTGAAATCGTTTTGGAAATGACCACAATCTAGGGTACAACACAGGGATTTGCCTTTTTAGCCAAATTCTTATTTTGCGTCTGGAAAATTTTGAGCTTCGTTTACGAATTGACAAAAACGTTGATGGGTATCCGGCAGATTAAAATTGTATTAAAAGTATTGCCGACACCAAAAACCAATACTGATTAGCAAAAAATTTACTTGAGAAACTTGCTGTGAACATAGACATCAAAAATTAATAAAACATTTCTTAGGTTTAATAATTTACAATCGTGCTTGTAAATTAAAAGTACATTAAATGATCTTTGTTGAAACTAAGATCAAGTTTTACAATCAACTTAACTTTGACAATTCTGTAAAGCAGTTTCTTTGGTTTGATCGTTATATAAACCAGCCTTGATTGCAACAATCAAACTAAAAATTTTAACTGTTGGAAAAATTTTAATTAACCTTATTTCGGAGCTATCAAATATTTCGACAAAAATTCTTACTGATCAGAATGAGTTCATCACCAAATTCGAACGTTTTAAGCTGCATGGAGGAAGTAGCAAATAATTACTTAACTGAATGGAGGAAGGATAATGACAGGTTCATGTTAGAGAGCTACCAAATATTTTTCAGTGTAAATAAGCATGAGCTATCAGAACTGGAAACTGAAAACTTACTCCATAACATGGATCAGATAAAAATATCAATGGAAATGGATGACAAGAAACCCAGTACGGCTTCCAACAGATTTTACGGCAAGATGAGTTATGACTTGTCAGTGAAAGTGCAGGACTTCTACTTTGAAGAGTTGAGTGCCAGAAATGTTACAATACGCGAAACTCGTTTGGATCTGGTCGTCAGCGGTGTTTCCATGAATTGTACAATTCGTCATCACGATTCGTTCATCGATGCTTTGTCAAACTACCGCCACCGTGTATATCACCTTCCGTACCACAAAGAAAGATTTCATTACAGTGAATGTGTAATCTGTAAGGAACAATTAATGGAGAGTTCCTGCGTGAAAGAGTTTCCATGCTACCACGTCTTCCACGATGACTGTATCAACAGTTGGCTGGACGTAAAACCATTTTGTCCAATTTGTCGTGATTTCATAGCGGTCGATCCGATAGATCACAGAAGATACAGCACAGAGGACCAGAAGGATGGCACAACGCAACTCCTCATCCTCATAATCACCCTTCCTCGAGGATATGAAAAATTAGGAGTTAACCTTGAATAAAATTGCATTAAATTAATATAACATGACAAATTAGAGATTAGTCCAAATAAAAATAACTACATAATGACAAATACAAAGGGGGCGAACACAAGTTTACATAAAATATTAAATAATATTAAAACATGTTGATGCATATTGGTACATGTTACCAGATTAAAATTACCGAGATAGTAGTTTGTAACAACGGGATATGTGACTTGTAGTGTACTGAATTAATTTTAAAATTTTTAAGTAGTTTCTGTTTGTGCAAAATTGTAAGTTTATAATGATAATCAATTGAATGAATGGCTGAACTAAATGAATATTTAAAAAAATGTTTAATAAGATTGTTATAACCTTCACAAATATATTCGCTAGAGAGCTAGTAGCGCTACGAAAGCATACAGTTCGAGGAAGGACTAGAACCTTCCGACTGCTAGATATCTAGGACATTCGAGAAGCGTCCGTAGAACGGGTATGTAAGACGTGCGGGATTTTGAATGGTTATTGTTGAATGTTTGATGTTAGAAGGCGATTGATTGTTAGTGTCGAAAGCGATGTTTTATATTTGACTGTGCTTTTATTGTATTTTGCATAAAGGTTAGTGAACTGTTAAACAGGAAAGCGGTAGTTTTGGAAAGTTGATTTATTTTATTTTTTATTTTATTTCAAAAATTTATAAAGCGCCAATTAAAAAAAAGAAAAAATTTCAAAAGCGCTACTTTATAGTCGAGAGAATAAACAATTGTTTGAGTACGTGTACATGATAACGAAACAAAAATCAAATCGAAAACAAATAATTCTTGAGATTCTTCTTGAAAGCATCCATGTTCATTTCCGGCTTCTTCAGGGACTCTGGTATACCATTCCATAACACTGGACCCGCAACAGCAATCCCTCGTGCACCAATACACAAGTGAGCACTGTTTGCTATCATTAAATTTGAACAATCACTTCTCAAGCGAATGCCATCCATGGTCACTGATTTTTTCTTGATTATTTCCAACAAATATCTGGGCAAGATTCCATTCAGGGCTTTATACATCAAGATATTTGATTTTTTAGTAAAATTAATGAACGTTGATTAATTAATTAATTAATTAAGTAAGTAAGTAATTAACTATAGTTTTGTAAATGAATGTATTAAATTGCATTTATTTTTTACTGGTAAAATTAATTAGCGTTTTGCAAATAATTGGATCGATAATTTGGAAGTATTAATTTCGTGTCACAATTTTTCACTAGGATTAAACAGACTCGTCGTCGACTGGGACTGCTATAGCATTTTGTAAGAATTACTAAAAATGATTTCAGGCCTAAAGACGCATGAATGAACCATCACCAACATCATCATCATCCTCACAATCATCATCATCGTCAACAACATCATCATCATCATCCTCACAATCATCATCATCATCATCGTCATCATCGTCATCACTATTGTCATCATCATTATCATCACCATCATCATCATAACCATCATTCCATCATCACCCTCCTCACAACTCCTTCAATGATGCTAATTTCTGTAGCGTTTTATTTTGATTAGCATGTTCGTTTTTATCTCTCTCAAATGATTTTTTTAGTTGAGCTGACATTTTTTTACAAAAAAAATACGTTCTTTATAAATCATATATTTTTTAAAATTTTTCGGGTTGCAATTAATTAAAAAAAATGAAAACAATACATTGAAAGTTTCTCAGTGTGACAAGAGTGAATTTGTTTGTCATTGGTTCACAATCGGTGCGTTGGCATCGAAAATTTTGACTATTCAAGTAAAATTTAGTTTAAAAATATTATAAACTCTAACTTAATTATATATGCAAATAAATTGTATGTCTCGGTTTTGCTGTTGAGGCACAAACATATGCCCCTACCTACTAGATGAAATTTTCCCAAGTTTGGTTGGTTTCAAATGGATTGTGTTTGTTTAGTCTTGTTTGAATTGAATAGCTTAAAATTATGTTCGTCCCGTCTTAAGTTGAAAGAAATTTAATTAAGCCTAGGCTTATTTATTTCATTTAAAAAAAGATTTTAATATATTTGTTAGAAAAACATCAGCTTGCATATAACTTAGCGCAGACAAAAAATTCAAAAATTTTTTCAAAGACAAAATTTCATTTGAGTGGAATTTGAGTTGCCCACCGAAGGCCCTGCTAATATTTATCTGAATTGACAGACTAATGAAAAGTTAGGTTACGATGAATTGAAATGAAATATTTAAAAAGCCAAGTAAAATTTTTCAATGCAAAATTAATTAGAAACCTGACGAACTGATCTCCATTGTGGTCGTAACTTTTTTGCGTTCGTTGTTGTTGTTGATGTTGTTGTTGATGTTGTTGTTGATGTTGTTGTTGATGTTGTTGTTGTTGTTGTTGTTGTTGATGTTGTTGTTGATGTTGCTGTTGTTGTTGATATTGTTGTTGTTGTCTGTAACGTGCTATTTGTAATTTGGTATGAGGAATGTTGAAATCGATCAAAGAAATATTTACCGTCATTCCACGTGGAACAAAAATTTTTGAAGAGCACGTGTTTCCTGGATGTGATGAAGACACTCCCAAATATCCGTGTGTGGGAGAGGTGATGTTGAGGAGGCTGGGACTTCTCCAACTTCCACACGGAAGCACTACCACAAAAAATCATAAAAAAAAGTTTTGGATAATGTTCAATACCGTTTATATAATGTAGACACAAATGTGTATGTTCATATGAATATTTAAAAAAGTAACGAACAGTTGGAAGGAGGAAACACATACATATCACACACACCACACACACACACACACATATATATAATATATATATACATCCAAATACACACCACATATATATATATATATATATATATATATATATATATATATATATATATATATATACATTCACATACACACATACACACACAAACACATATCATCATCACTAACCACTGACACACTTGTAGCTAGCCTCCATGTGGTTCTTCAACTCCTTCAGACACGGTCCTGTCCTTTCAAACTCAGCGTCAGGAACTCTCAGCTGACATCTCTTCCTTCCGGAGCATCTCTCATCCATCAAACTAAGAACGTTAGTGAAGCAGTTGATGTAACCCAGATGAAACTCTACACATCTGCCGATCTTTATTCTCCCGTACCTGGCCACTGACATGAGAATGATCTGACCTTCGTCGGGGCAGGAAGCCTCGAAGTCCTCGGTGTCGCAGAACTCCTCGCCAGGCGGTCCACGCTTGCCGCTGCTGAGGTCCTCAATCGCTTCGTAGTCATAGACGTCATGGTCACTGATCGTTACTTCTGTCGGAAGAGTCAGGCGAGTGAGTTGCTTACATCAAGTATACATTAGTCCCTATTTAATATATAATTGTAGTGGCTGTAGTGCTATGTTGTTGTTGTATGTGTCGTAGTGTGTTTTGTTTGTATTATCATTTTCAATGCTAACTTCCATGACCCGATAAAAGTTATTATAACATTAATTTGATTAATCAAGAATCTTAATTATAATGTCATAGTGTAATAGGATGCTGTTTGCTAGAAATGCTTATTAATGGTGAAAATTAATATTAACATGAGGAGTTAATTATAACGATTGACGTAATTATTAATTGTAACTATAATGATTTTTATTATTATTTATTATTATTATTAAATATTACTTTTATTAAATATCATTTTTAATATAAACTTTAAAGATAAACATAACAAACCAAAAAAAACACCTGTAAAAACCGATTAAATATGAATTATTTGACGAATGAAATACAACGGTTTAACAGATTAATAAAAAATACTTTATGAGGATGGTATTTAAAATAATTTTCATAATTTGTGTACGGTTATTTGGCATAATACTCGTGCACAGTAGCGTACGAAAGCACATTTCATTCAATTCTGGTCTAGGGTTTTTTCGCTGTTAAACTACTTGCAGTGTGGCCAAATTTCAAAACAGTTGGATGCGTTAAACCAGTACACTTCTTAGATAATTTGCTGGTTTTGTAAACGATTCTAAGAGATATATTGATAAAAATTAAAGTTTGATTGCAGTCAAATCCATTTTAAAAGAATTTTAATCGTTAAAATTTACCGTCCCAAACTACAAAAATTAAACTGATAGGGAGAAAAAAATTAAATCAGAAATATTTGAAAAGTGTAAGATTTCTATATAATTAAATATGACTAATAAGTTTATTATCGACAATACTAAAAGTATTGTTATTGTTATCAAGAAGTTAACAGCATTCTGATACAAGCCTCTGTTAAAAAAGAGTAGAGAAATTATTATGTATAAAATTTTATTGTCAAATTGTATGTAGCGAGTTTTCAGTTCGAGTGTGAAGCACTATTTTATCATTTGTTTGAGTGAAATTATTTTCGGAAATCAATTTTTTTATTCTTTTTCGAAACATCATGTACTGAAATTCCATTGTAATTTTGAAATTTTAAGTTTATCAATTTTTTATTTTTTTATTTATTTTTATTTAGTTTTCTATTTTAAAATTTTGCTGGCAAATGTATTTTAAAAATGAATATCAGATAATAAAAAAAACACAAATTGAAAATAAGTTATCAGTCAAAATGTTCCTTATTTTATTTTTAAATTAATAAAATAGAAACCTTTGCAACAAAATTTTAGTGAAAGTGAAGTTAAATTTTGTGTTGGCAGTTGGATCACGTTCCCGAGAGGACTGTTACCATAAATTACTTATAAATTAAAAATCTTGGTCTGTGTTGTTTCTACTGCACCGGTGTTGAAAATGAACAAGTTACATCAAAGAACAATGGAGTTATGTGTGTGCTTGCATTCTATGATGAAGATCGTTAACTCATTTCCATACATTTCTATCTCTTAGTGAACCGTTAAAGAGTTCGATTAGTAGAAAATTCTCGAACCAACTCCTACATTTTAGAATCATCGTTGTCATTCTTATTCTCCGCCGTGCTTGTAAGTCTGTTCCATTGAATGCAACTAGTTCAGGTTAAAATGCGTTCGCGCTAGTTCAAAAAAATATTTTTTGCTATCCAATTCACTTTCGTCACAAATATTAACATTTGAAAACTGACGCATTACAATCTATTGAACAAAATTCCTGCTGAAAATTAGTTTGTACTTTCAAAAAAATTATAAAATTTACGAAATAAAATTTCTATGTAATTATTTTATTGTGTGTTGTAATATTTAAATATACCTCGTCGAACGAAATAAACGCAAGCATTAGATGGCGCCCAACCAACCAACAACTGCATCGTCGAAATTAAATTATTCCAGCCAGGCAAGCTGCAGAGTTGAGCAAACAGAGGAAGCCAGGGTCGACGAAGAACTTCATTCCATGTTTAAATTCTGCACGCACCAGCAGTACAAACACAAGTTTCTCTACCATGTTTGAATTGTATGGATATGCAAATGTTCTGCGTCTAATGCAAATACAAATTTATAACTTTTAAAAATACAGAACCAAAATGAAGTGCTAGGTGAGTGCATGGACCATGGATGTGTTGATGTATCGTAGTTGAGATCAGATGGATTGTAAGTGATTTGATTTATGAGTTGGTCTTTAATACACTGCGCGTATTCTTTATTCATTGCAAAGCACTGTTTTGCTTTCCTTGTCTACTCTGTGTGTTGGCACCTTTTCGTCTGATGTGTGAATCAAATCAAAATAGATTTTGAAAATCAATTTGATAATATTCAAAAGAGCTCTAAAAAAATTGTTAGCACAGACGCTTGTGACAAAAAGCTTTATGTACTAAGATGTTGCAAGGAACGAAAAAAATGAACATTTTGCAGAACACTTACAGTTTCTCCAAAAAACAAGGAGACACTTACAAGCACTATCTATAACCAGTTCTGAATTGTTGTTTCAAATGACTGAGAAGGACAGAACTAAACCGAAAGAATTCCAAGTGCATCCCAATACAAGCACCTACACTCAGTGTTCCTAGCTATCATTCATAGTATCACCAATATCATCAAGACTATCATACAAACACACACTCACACATATATATAAGTTATATATTATATATATATATATATATATATATATATATTTATTAATTTATTTATTATTGTTAAAATCTTTAACGCTCGTAGCTACCAACATCAGTGTTATAATCTTCAAAGTTATAGCTTCCAACGATCATCAAGTGTTTGTTATTCCGTAGGTTCAAGATTTCCGACAGATGAACACAACTGCTTCAAAGGCAAACTTTGTTGAAAGTTTATTTGAATGCCAACAGTAATAGAAACACTAAACCAATCCAAGTACCACATAAATCACATTTACGACTTCGCATCGAACACTATTAGAAACCTGGCTGGAGACCTGTCTCCGCGGGATCTTATGTGGGCTTCTTTTTACGATCCTTTAAAATCCAAAGATTACAAATATAGCAAAGATAACAATAATTAAGATAACAAATAACGTAGCGCAATTTGATCGGTTATAACAATATCAAATACATGAATATATGTTTAATTTTTAAATAACATATACATGGGTATATATATATTATTTTGAAATATTTGCTTATAATATTGTCTTACTGCTTACACTGTATTAAATTACCTAGAACATTATATTGCATAACATTGTTTACCTTCCAATCAAATAACTTCAGCATTTGTTCACAGCCTACCACCGGCCAGCACTTTCCTCTTATTTGAACAGTTCAACTTCAGACGATGCTTATTTCTGCGTTCGTGTTTTCTGATGATATTCAGCGGTTTCAAATTACAATACAACGTAACACCGCATTCGAATTTGTTTTTGAGGGGAGTTTCCGAGTGATAAGGTCACTTTTTGGGATTGAAGCAATTTGTCGGTGATGGAGTGCTGAATAATTTCAGGGAAAATTTTAAATAACAAATTCAAAAATTCAGACAAAATTAAATATCAGAAATTGTTGAGATTATGCAATTAATTTATTAAATAGCATAAAACCATAGAGGAGATACAAGTTATTGGGATGTCTACCGTTTGGCATGTCACTGGGGTCAAATGAAATGCTTAACATTCAAAATGCAGCCAAACGTTCAAGCAGTTTCAAGGGAATGGATCGATTAGTAGAATAGAAGAATAAGTTTAGTCAAAAAATGGTTAACGTAATAAAAAAAACTTTTCTGGTAAAATTCCACTTTTCACCAGAACAAAAACTGTCATTTCTTTATTATTTTACGTTAACATTTATAGCACAAAGTATTTTACATTACAGAGAAACGAGATGAAAAAATTTTTACCATATCAATCTATTATAACATCTTGCAGAATGATGAAAAACTGCAAGCCATCCATACCTAATATATTTTTGAAGGGCACTTGAAGAGGAAACTCAGCGATGATGAAAGCAAATAGTTAGTGAGTAGGGAGACGAGATGGTGCAGTGCAGTAAGGAGTGCAATACATTTGAAAGGAGTTTGTTTGCTTAGGCATCTGCTTGATTGATTCACTTGGATTAGTGGGTCCCTTCCATGAAATATGAATTTGACACTCCGATGCACAAATTTATTGCCAACAATTTTTGATTTATACGCTTCACGCTCGAGTTTCTTTAGTTGTTCGTTTGATAATTTTTTTGATTTATTATTTCTTACATTCATTGAACTTACCGTTCGTGTTCAGTTCAAAAATTTTCTATATTGCCAAACTTCTCCAAAGCTTACCACTTTGTAAAATTATAAACATTCCAACACAGGTTTTTGAGAATTTTTTTACCCGCGCAAAAAACAGTGGACAAATACTAATTCACGTCACACAAATATTACACACGCACGCACGCACGTGCACACGCAACACACACAAATGTTATACATACCTATATAAATAGTGTATGACAAACGCTAGGCATAGTAGACAACAATGGTGATTGCAAATGATGTTTACGAGGTGATCCATCAAAAGTTTTTGTGACGTCATCAATCAGGCTGACGTCATGAATCACACGCCGCCGCTGCGCTCGCCACCTCAGCGACGACAGCAGCGCTCAAATTGGCGAGAACTTCAATTAAATTTGTATTCATGTTGTTTGTTGGCTCAATCTATTATTACTGTTATTATTATTGTTGTTGTTATTGCTAGAGTTAGTTTTACGATTTTTATGTGTTGATGTTATTGTTATTTTGATTATATGTTACGTTTTAATTATAATTATATTGTAATTATATATATTATAATATATAATTATGTATATCTATAATTATTATATCATACTAATTATTATTTAAATACTTATAATTAACTTATAATATAATTATAATTACATATAATTATATTATAAGTTAATTATAAGTGCAGAGTGTTGCAAAAAAGTGCTGCACACCGAACTTCAGTACTTATGAAAGGGTAAAAGTAACTTAAATAAAGTTACTTTAGTAAAGTTAAACGTTTTTGTACTGACTCTTCCAAAAATGTGCTCGTGAAGTGAAGGGCAAGAGTACAAATCCTGATGACCGATTCACAATGAATTCAAGATGAATAAATAAATAAATGAAAGGTTATGATAGCATAGAGATTAATGATATTAACACCAGTGTCAACATCATGACTTTAAAGAGAATCTGACAGAAAACACATTTTTATCAATATAGATAATATCTATTAATTTGAAATGATTAGACCATTCATTTATTCTATTATTTTAGGCCATTTATAAACTTATTTTTGTGTTTTTTAGGTCCTTTATAAATTTGTGATGATGATAATAATGATTGTAATAATCATTCCATTCTTTTTTACTATCATTAGCACTGTACATTGACTTCCACATCACCAGCAACTTACATGCGTTCATAATATCACCCACTTGACATCTACTTGGCCAGTTTCAGCGGTTTCAACATCACCAAGTTTCCAGAAAAATTTCTCTTTCTCTCTCTCTCTCTCTCTTTCTCTCTCTCTCTTTTTCTCTCTCTTTCTTTTTTTTTCTCTCTCTCTCCCTCTAACACGTTTGTTGCTCATCGCCAGATCAGACCAGACCGGCTTATAGATGAATAATTAATTTAAATAAATTTTAAAAAACACGATCTTTAATTTTTGTACTCTGATAAAAACTTCACACAAGAGGCGATGAACACGCGAATTTTTTCACTTTAAACGAATGATGACTACGAAGTTACAAAGCAAAAATACAACTTAAAATGGTACTTTGTTACAAGCGGAGGTACTTATAATTTTTTTTTCTACTTTGTGACAAGCAAAAAGTGCTTAACTTTGTTACAGTACTTCGCTACAGTATGCACCCGTTAGTAATTTTAGTATTTGTAACTGATACTTATAAGAATTCATATAAAATTTGATAACATGTTAATATTTTGAATGTTATAAGTAGTACTAGAGATATAAGTAGCTGCAGTGGTGAGGCTGATACATCAAGATGTCTATGATACACACATACATAGCAGATAGCACATATGATAAATAACATTTATCAACTACAACAATTTGCCACGCTAAGAAACTCGAAACTAATTTCTTAAATAAAATAAATTTTCAACACCTATATGCTTTGTCGATTTGTTTTTTTTTTAATTTATAAAATAAATTTGAGATAAAAATATGACACAAAACAATAAAGTTATCAAATATGACACAAAACAATAAAGTTATCAAATATGACACAAGAAATGAAATAAATTTTGATGGGAATGAATGGATTACGATTACGATTCATAAAATATTCATGCCATCAATTGGCACAACTTTCATAACCTCATGACATTACATTACGTTGCAGAGAGTAAGGTTGCATAACATTACAGCAATATTGAATAACATTACCTTACATTACATTACGTTACGTTAAACATTACATAAACTCACATCACATCAGATGACGTCACATTAACAAGATGACATCACATCACACAACATCATATCATGACGTCAATTCAATCCACTTCCGATTACAAATAATTAAATTTGATATATTTTTGCTAATTAATTTTAAATTTAATTGGAACTAATTACGTTTAATAAATTTTTCCCATTTGAAATGAATTTTTAGAGGGTTACAGGGTTTTAAAAATTTTTTATAAAAAATTAAATAATTTTTTTTTCTTTTTTTTTTTACTTTTCAATCTATTTCTCCACTCTCTTCGTCGATTTTTAAAAAAAATTTTTCCCAACAACCCGCATTCATTTAACTTGTTACAGATTTACCTGTATGAGCAAAATAATTATTTACTATAATGTTAATAGTTGTGTTATTATCATGTTATCTCATAGTCGTTAGATTTGTGTGTGTGTGTGTGCGCGCGTATGTGTGTCTGTCTGTCTCTCTCTCTCTCTCTCTCTCTCTTTCTCTCTCTCTCTCTCTTTCTCTCTCTCTCTCTCTCTTTCTCTCTGTGTGTGTGTGTGTGTGTGTGTGTGTGTATGTAGCGTTTAACTGTGTGAAAATGAATGTTAACGAGAACAAAATCGTGCTGGTGTAATTATGTAGGACATTCCTTGAGGTGTGCAGTTCGATAGATGCAAATTCAATCTACAATTTTATAATTACGTTTAATTTATAATTCATAATTGTCATTATTAAATTAAATTAATAATTTATAGTCGTTAGAATTATAATTAGCTTAGAATTTGGAATTTTTAATTGTTTTAGTGACACTTCGTGATTGCAAGAGCAGGTTGAGATTAATTAAATTTTTCAAAAGACACCAGTGCCGAATACGTCAACACCACAAATGCATTCCTGGCAACACTGCTGATGGATCCACGAAGGAATGTAAATTGCGAAAACGAAAAACAGCATTAACACTGACGACAACACGAACACAAACATCACCAACAGCCACTAACAACCACAGGCAACCACGAACAACCACCAACAGCCGCTAACAACTGCCAATAACTACCAATTGCCACAAACAACAGCCACCAACAGCCACTAGAAATACACATAATCACAAACAACCACTAACTGCCGCTAACAACTACCAATAGACACCAACAACAGCCACTAACAACCACCAGCAGCCACTAACAACCACCAGCAACTACCAATAGCCACCAATAGCCACCAACAGCCATTGCAAACCACACAACAACCCCATCCATTCCGTCCGATAGCTTAACATCTTTCACTGATAAATACATTCCATCATGAATTCATCAAGCGACATCCGTCAGATGAAACTTTCTCAAATTAAAAAGTAATTTGTGCTCCTTTTGCTTTCAGAAAATGTCAGTTTTATTTTATTTATTTTAAAAACTCATCCCAGAAATTAAAAATTAATCCCGCGTTTTGAGGTTTTGACGTGGAACTAAAATAACAAAAGCATTCCATATTTAAATATCTATATGCAACCATTTGTGTAGACAATATTTTATTTTAGTCTTCTTTTAATGTTTGAAGTTTTGAGACATGTATTATCTTTTAAATTATAACTGAAATTTTGTTCTCTTTCAAATTAGAAATAATTTAGCAGACGGAATAAAATTATATTGTTCCAGAGGTAAATTAAAAATAATATAGAACTCCGAACGAACATTCATGTAAGGAGCGGAACAAAGAAAGGCATACATCGTGAAACTTCGCATTCAACACAATAACACAGTTAGTGTAAGCATGCAGAAGAACTACAAAGAAAAATATAAGAATTTTCTATACAAATTTCTCGGCACTATAAAAGAGGATTGAATGGATAGTCAAGAAAATGTATGTTGACTTATTACGCATTTGGGTACCTGTCCACTACAATAACATTTTAATGAAAGCAGGGTTTATGTTAACAATAACACTTCGTATCTGCAGGTTCCATGTTCACATTCACATTTTGTAGGTAGTGGTTCCATGTTCACAATAGCATGTTGTATTGATGTATACAGGTTCCATGTTCACGTTAACATTTCATGGTTGGTTGTATGATCAACTCTAACAATAATATAATATGGTTCAAATATTTATTTAAGAACAATGTCTTGTAGCAACTAGACCGCATGTTCACTCAGTTATTTCAAAATTGTAAGTCCATGCTCACCTGTCAAATTTAAAGAGTGGATGTTCACAGTAACATTTATGTTCAAAATGACATTTCATGAGCGGGCTTTATTTACCATTCTCAGTTGTAGGCAACTTTCCTATTATACATCAAGCAAAATTTTATTGGGCAGATCAAATTTGTTTGTTAGGGATTTGCATGTGATGAGGGTGTTGCATGTGGCATTTAGAAATTACTTGACAAGAGCATTTGAACATTTTCAAAAAAACTTTTCAAAACAAAATATTTGGCTATGCCTTCGTTTATTCCAAATTTTAAAACTTGTAAAAATAAACTAATTTTTCGAATATTTTATCTCCCAACGTGTTTCCGCTGAGTTTGACTTTTTCATGACAAAAACTTAAACTATTTCTTTACAATATTTTTAAAATAAAATGTAAAGTAATTGTCATATTCAACTGAATCAAAAACCTTAAAACGTTGAAGTGGGAAGCAGGCATGACACACGCAATGGCAGCAGATGCAGTGGAAGCAACCGAGGGAAAACAATCTCACATAAATAAGCCAAACATGCCCACGTATTAAATCAGTCGAAAGATCAAATTCTTCATCCCCGACCTTCTATGCCTAGTAAAAATATATTCTGACCATAAACCTTTTCTGGGGTACATGTGCAGCGAGGTTACTCTTAAAGGGAAATTGATATAATACTTTTCAATGTTTGTCTACGGTCAACATACGAATATAACTAACTTTCAATTTTCTCCAACCATCAAGACATCGCATGCCTCCCACTTGTGCGTGGGCGAAATATTTTCGCTGTTTTTGTTTACATAGTCAATTAAAAATTTAAAACGACATCCGTAGTTGAAACGTGCGCGTCACGTGGTTCTGTGTTGCGACGGTCGCGAGACGGTACTATAGACCATGCACCAGACTACTGAAATGTATGCAGTCACCAACGACAAAATGTAGGCAGACTCAACAGTCGCAGTTGGGAGAAGTTGCTGCTAGATGGTTGCTGGCTGGTTCGTTGGGGGATCTCTTCTGCAAAATAAATAAGCATCATGAATTCAGAGGGAACAATCAAGTTGGCCATACATCATCAGATGTTGATTGATCAGCGAACAACTCTTTGTGCCTCCATCGTACACTCATAGACAAAAAGCTTCATATTCCCCTATATAAGAGCACACATGTAAATGAATGAAAAAATAGGATCTCTAAAAACGAATATGTATTCATCTTATGCATAAACGCATTTATATACACACACGTAGATGCGGACATCCGCATGAACAGAAAGGCTCTCAAATAAAAAAAGGTAAGCACAAATTTAAAATAACCCATGAAAACACCCATGACAAAAGCAAAAGGAACACGCACACACCACACACACACACACACACACACATACCACACACATACCACACACACACACATACCACACACACACACACACACACACACACACACACATAAAACACTCCTGCCAAAAACAATGCAAAGCTATGCCAAATATTTCAACAGATTTAACTATTCCTTTTCCTTAAGAGACAATTTTCAAAATCTGTTCATACTATTATAATTATAACTGCAGAAAATGAAACCCTACTTAAATGCAATTGAGTAGTGTGTGTGTGTGTGTGTGTGGGTGGGTGTGTGGGTGGGTGTGTGGGTGGGTGTGTGTGTGTGGTCTGTTCTTATTTAATGAAGTTATGATGTATTGGAAACTTAATCCTCGTGTGTTAAAGTTGCTCTCGTGTTTGCAATAGCTTGAAATGATGGCCATCACACCATAGTCGCCTTCATCATTCTGCCTGTTTGTTTCAACATGATTATGAAATTTCGCAAAATAACGCTCGAATGAGGAGTGCATCCACAATATTATTTTCAAACATTTAAAAGAAGGTAAATCTTCATAATAAATTTATGACGATTTGCTCAGAGTCGATAGATCAAGCTAAATTAATAAACAAGTTTGGACGTAATTGCTTTTTGACGTGCACTTACGATGATAAATGAATGAATATAGAAAGAGGCTCGCATTGTGGGTAGTCTCATCATAAATAGTGAAATATAATTTTTTTAAAAAACATAAGATGCACAAACATTTGTAGATACAAACAAATAAATAAGAACAAACAGACGAATGAACGAACAAACAAACAGACAAACGAACAAACAAACAGACGAACAAACATTGTAACGTACATTCATCAATTCATATCTCTCCTAGTCATCGAATCTCTTCTGTGCATTCATCCAACAGTAAGCACAACAACAACAACAACAAAAACAGCAATGACAACAACAGAACGCGCATCCATACAAATACAACCCATAAGAAAACGCATGTCATATGCAAAAACACATGCTTCAAGTATTCACACACGCACACACGCACACACGCACACACACACACGCACAGATACCACACACGCACACACACACACACACACACACACACAAATACTCAAAGACTAATTCATTACATCTTCCAAAAACTCAACCAGTCATTTTTCTTTCTTATTGCAAAAAACAACAATTAATACGAAATAAATTTTCCCATAAATTAGTCCCTAATAAAACGAACAATACATTTAATGACAATGTGTCCTCAATAAATAGATATACTTGGACAGTTTAAAGTTTAAAGCATTTCTTCGGGCTTGAATTTGAAGATTGTTTAATGTTTGATGGATTTAGGAAAGCTGAACAGCGGTCTTCTGTTATTCGAGGGTTGATGATGGTCATGGTGGTCATTCTTAAATGCCATGCCAGCACAACACAAACAAATAACTGGACAGTATTTATCATCGGGAGTGTGGGATCGTAATGGTAGTGATGATGTGTTAGTTGTTGTTGTTGTTGTTGTTGTTAATGATAATGATGACGATTGCAACTATGATGATGTTGACGATTGCAACTATGATGATGTTGATGATGATGATGATGATGATGATGATGACGATGTAGTTGTTGCTGTTTTTGTTGATGATGATGATGACGATGATGATGACTGTCAAATAATGAGTGCGATTGATACTGAATCGAAATGTGTGAAGAAGAAGATGGTGTTGATGATGATGATGATATCTACTGGTGATGATGATGACGACAACGACGATGATGATGATGAAATGGTGTATAATTTTGATGATGAAAATGATGATGATGATTTAGGTGAAAATATTTATGACAACAATGCTGATGACACTAATGCCACAAACAAATGTAACACTGACATTATTAGCTTGGTGGAACAGGAACATCTATGAAAAACCATATCAACATGAGACTTAGATGAGTATAGTTCTAAATAAAAAAACTTCAAGGAGGTTCCCAAAACCATTTCCTGTTTGAATTTTGCTTCTAATTTGATGTAATTTGTTTCTGTAAAAGTTATTTAAAAAATTTTATTTTAAAAAGTCCAGGCACATTTTTGAGTATGCTGCTAACTGTCGATGAACATGATGTTGCTGCAATATGATGTTGCTGCAACATGATGTTGCTGCAACATGATGTTGCTGCAACATGATGTTGCTGCAACATGATGTTGCTGCAACGCGATGTTGGTTGCTGCAACATGAAGTTGATGCGACATGATGTTGCTGCAACATAAATTTAATACAACAGGATGTTGCTGCAACATAAATTTAATACAACAGGATGTTGCAGCAACATCATGTTGTTGTTAACCACAAATGTTTTTTTCAAAAGGGCAAAATATTTTTGTGAATATTTATAAATATTATTACAAAAAATTTTGAACCTATTCTCATATTGGGATTTGAAAAAAATTCAAAATTTTTAAATATCGATCTTCTATTTAACATCGATTGTGAATGGTCATTCTATATTGAATTGAACTCAGTAAAAATTCTTAATTACAGCCAAAATTTGTGTGTGTGTGGTGTGTGTGTAGTGTGTGTGTTGTCGATGACAAATCTAGAAAATGTTGCAAATTCTGTGTGTAAAAAATGTCAACCTAACATCTCGAGAATCCAACCCCCACCTTTACTCTTGAATTTTGAAACTCACCCCTCACCTCGCCAAATTCTGGATCTGTCACTGGGTGTTAGTGTGAGTGTTGTGTGTATGTGTGAGTGTGTGTTTGTGTGTGAGTGTGTTTGTTTGTTTGTGTGTGTGTGTTTGTGTGTAGATGTGTGTGTGTGGGTGTGTAGTGCGGTTTCTGTGAAAAATTTTTTCAATAATAAATTCGAAATGATTCGATTCAGAATGGGCTTTGGGTTGAAATGAAAGAAAAATTGTTGATGATGACGACGACGATGATGATTAAAATAATGGTGATAGTGATGGTGATGATGATGGTGATGATGATGATGATGATGGTGGTGGTGATGTTAATTAGGATGATGGGGGATAAGGGTGATGATGGTGGAAACGATAATGAAGATGGAGATGATGGTTATAGTGATGATGATGATTGTGATGATGATGATTGTGATGATGATGATGAAATGGTGATGATGATGATGAAATGGTGGTGATGATGATGATGGCGATGGTAATGGAGATATTATCGTAGCTATTGTCGATGATGATAAATTGATGTCAATTTTAATCATCAAATAGCTGCTCTCAAATTGTTCCAGCTGAAAGATTCAAATTGAAATGAAAATTTATTATTGTTGTTTTTGTTGTTTGTGTTGTTGTTGCTGTTTTTGTTGTTGTTGTTTTTGTTGCTATTTTTCTGAACTCACAACAGCCGAACCACTTAAAAGAAATTGCCATTTAAAAATTCTTTATTAATTAAATAAGAAGACATATAAAAGTTAATAAAACATCAAAAAACAAACAAAAACTTTTGTTTTCAAGACAGATTTTTAACATAAAAAACAAGACAGAGGCAATGGATGGTGCATTGTTCTCCTCAAACGAACAGCTCAGTTGACGAAAATGGATGACAAAATACAAACTCCACTGAACAAATCATTGAAATTCGTGCCGAACGAAATATCCTAAATTCACCATAACCTCTAACAAATCGAGTGATGTCTGTATGTAGGAATGTGTGGTGTTTGTATGTATATAGGATTGTGTGGTGTGATGTTTGCATGTTGGAATGTGTGGTGTGATGTTTGTATAATGGTTAACCAACTATATAAAAATCCACACAATGACTACTCACACTCTGTTGAAATAAAACAAAAGTCGTTATTTAGTTGGAGAATGTGTGTAAATAATTTTTTGTTTGTTTGTTCGTTGTCTCTTAACAATTATATTAATCTTTCGTTTGAAGACTTGAACTGCCAGACAAAAGAGAAAATAGATTTTTGTATTGCACCAAGGCGTTGTTAAATTATCTCCTAGCGAGGAAGGAAATGTCCTAACTGGGCAATAAAAAAGATTGTCCTGCTCTGTTGATTATCATCAACTTCTTACAACGTTGTTTTATACCTTTCACAGAGCTTATTGCCCGATAAAGTGTAATCCGATGATTAATTAGTCTGCTACGCTATCCACTTGCCACTCTCAACATTTCCAAGTTACTGTTGTCATTTTTTGTACGAAGACATCAATTAATAAGCACAATAGCAAAACGCCACTTGCTTCAAACAAAGACCTAAAACAGTAAAGCTTGAAAATACTCAGAAGCCTAAAAATAGACAAACACTTGAAAATAGAACCAGACCAAACAACAACAATTACAAATTGAAATGAATAAACAAATAAACGTTTTAATCCAATGTTCGAGCAGACTCACAGGAAGCTGGCATAAAATAACAAGAAATGCGGTAACAAAAATGTTTTCTTGGCATGAAATTAAGTTAAAATAAAATTTCAATTAATAAGCAGAAACTATTTCCTTTTTAATGAAAAATAAACTAATTGCTAACAAGCTTCATAAAGACTTTTACAAATTGCTAGCTGCAATCGTCACAGCATGCAAAAAACCAAATGAAAAATACTATAAATGTCTTCGTACAAAAAATGACAACAGTAACTTGGAAATGTTGAGAGTAAACTCAAGAAGTTGGAAAACAGAAATTTTTAACAATATTAACAATATAAAAATTTATTTAAAACCAAATAAAATAAACAGTAAAAAATCTCTGAACGAGAAATAATAAAGAAGAAAATGTACCGTTGAACAAAGCAGACACCACATGTTCGTCGTATATCTCAATGAAGGAGTATATATTCAATTCACAGGGCGAGCAGCGAGCTCCTGTTTTGTTCCATGCTTACAACATGTTGTAGAAGCAAACGTTTTACAGCCTACCAAATGAGCTAATCCATGTGTTGTTGTGTACATTTTTGTGTTTGTGTGTGTGTGTGTGTGTGTGTGTGTGTGTGTGTGTGTGTGTGTGTGTGTGTGTGTGTGTGTGTGTGTGTGTGTGTGTGTGTGTGTGTGTGTATCATTTGGAGTGCACAAAATAATCTCCTAAGTCTCAACTACACACAACTTTACTCGAAAGTTAAACAGGTACGACAATAAAGCAAGTGAGATTTTAAATTCGGAATTGGCTTTACGTTTGAGTTATTAAAAATATAATTACAGGAACGAATTAAAGTAAAAATGTCTTCAAACTTTCTTGAATATCATACCTGACACGTGAAGACATTGTTCTATACAGTGATATAAATGCCTTGACGGATGGCTTCATGTTTCAATCTTCAGTTGGTTCAACTTTCGAAAATTTCATTTGACGTTTTCCATATTTTAGTGACTTTTTAATTGTTTTTTTTTATTTGTGGTTTTTGTTTGACCATACAAGCCTACAATGGGCTTCTGTTCTGAGTTTTGAAATGAATAAAATGAAAATGAGTTATGTACAAATCGTGTTGCGTGCGATGAAATTCTATAAAGCCAGGGTCATCAGTTGTTGGATCTGGAGAGTCAAGCAAACGAAAGGTAGTTTAAGTGGAAAGTTTATTGAGTCAGCTAACAAATTTTGGAAAAAATTAAAGTTTCATTAAAAACGTAGAAGTTGATGTTGTTTTTGTTGATGATGGTAATCATCATATTCATGATGATGATAATGTTGTTGTTGGTGGTGGTGGTATTGGTGGTGGTGGTGGGAATGTGCAGAATATGGTACACGTTCTATGATAATAACAAAGATGAATTGATAGTGAAGGTGCAGATGTATTGATGGTGATTGGATAATTCAAATGACGATGAAAGATGATGTTGATGATTATAATGATGACGATGATGATGACGATGATGATGACGATGATGATGACGATGATGATGACGAAAGTAATGTTGATTGATCGTTATAAAATGTTCAGCAGCGTATGATCGAAACTGCTAGAGAAAGTTCTTCAAAGTCTCACGCCGTTCCATGTTATCGTTGTACATCGGTCGGTGTTGTTGTTTGGCTGTTGTGAGGTGGTTTGTGTTCTGGCTGCTGTTGAAATAATTTGTGCTCATGTGCTACTACTGCTTAGGTTTGTGATGTTGCTGGGTTGTACTCGTTTTTTGATTCGTTTATGTTTAAATTGTCGGTGATGTGGCAGTTGTAGTTTTTTGTTGTTGCTGAACTAGTTGTTATTAAACTCGTTGTTGTTGCACCGTCCAAATTGTTGGTGTTGTTGTTGTAGTAGTTGTTCTTTTATTAGCGTAGTTGGTGTAGTTTATGGCGATGTTCGTTGTCACTTAAGTTCCGATGTCTGCTTTCATGGACCACGTGGTTTGACTGCAAAAGTAGTGCAAACCTTTACAACTGACCGGTCGTCATTAAATTGCTTTCAAATTTTTATCATCTTTTTATCAAACTGCCATCAAGTTTCCTATCAAATTGCGATCAAATTGTTATCATTATCGTCATCGAAACAACGTATTCTTACGGAGCCCATTATCAAATGGTTATTGACTTTAAATAGGTCTAGAGAGTTCGGCTCGTTAAGCTCCCAGTATAAAACGCTAACAGCTGGCTGATGCACAAGCGCTACTTGACTCTGCCTCTCTCTAGCTCATCCTTATTTCCTTCTATGTACACATTTTTTACTGTACTCTTTCAAAGTCTTTATCCTTTTATTTAGACTGGCGTAAACTTTCATATTAATTATTTTATAGTCTATAATTTTTGTTACCTTTGTGTTATATATGTGCATGTGTGTGCTTGTGTGTGCGTGTGTATGTGTGTGTATGTGTGTGTGTGTGTGTGTTTGGGTGTGGGTGTGTGTGTGTAACGTTTATTTAAATTCAAATTTAATTTTGTGCTCCATTTTCTAATTTAAAGAAGCCGTTGTCCGTTATAAATTTAGGTCTGAATTTGGTTAGCACGTGTTTGATTTTGCGATGATGCGACGATAAGAAGGCCGTCTTCTTTAAACATGTCGAGTTAGTGTCGTGTATTATTTGTTGTTCATGGTGATGGTGAGGGATTGCTGTTGTTGTTGTTGCTGCTGCTGCTGCTGATGATGATGATGATGTTGTTGTTGCGATAGAGTACTTTGAAACCATCAAAACGTTTAAAAAATTATTTTGTAAAGTTTCAGAGGCACTAAGTTAATAAATAAATTTATGTTACATGAGACTACAAGTTCAAAATTTCCCAAACAACCTAATCCTTATATATTCATTATGAAATTTAAAATCTAGTATAAGGATATGTTGAATGTTATATGTTTCATGTGGTGGAGCTGAAGCGGAAATGGATGGTTGGTTGGATGGTTGGTTGGTTGGTTGGTTCTCGGTGATAATGTTTGTGTGATTAAAATGTTCCTAAGCGTAAATTGTTATAGATATTTTTGGTTTCGAAGTTGGCTTTGTTGACTATTTTATCATCACGGGCTGGTTGAAGGAGACGCTGCTTTTTATATTGGACTACAAATTTGAAGTACTTTCCATTGAATAATATTGTATAAATGAAGCTGACCTGTTATTCTGATAAGCAACTTATTTTTGAAAATTTAAAAATTCGAAACATATGTAACATAATGTACAGAATTATAAAGTTGTAGTAGGATGATGAAGACAAATTAAAAATGAGTAATCAGAATACAGAGTGGAACATGCACGTGTGAAGAAGAAAATGAGATAAGGATGCGAAGAGAGGAGGAATTAAGAGAGAAAGAGGCAAAGAAAGAAAAAAGAGATAGAGAGAAGAGAGAGAGAGTGAATGCCTGCGGACAAATGCGAGAGATGCTTCCACATTCCAGCTCAATGATCACTAATAATAAGACCAAGAAAGATTGCTCGCTGAATGTCGTTGATTGATCGCTTGCCAGATTAGTTCAATGTTATTTTTCTGTAACGTCGCTGGCTGGCTGGAACTTCACAAAGGCATTAAAATCACATCAACTTGTTTCAATGCGCAACATTTATCACTCCTCTTCCTTGCCTCTTCTTGCATATTTAAAATAAATTACGAGTTGTTTTTTAAATGTCGAAGTTTTTTGTTCTGGCAACTTTTCCAGAGCATTTCTGGGACTTTTTTGCTTACAAATATGAATATAAACTTCACAGCATGTGCAAATGAGAGGTATGTTATCATTATAATTATCATTTTATTCAGTTCTGTATTTGTAGTTCTTGTTTTTATTTAAAGTTTTCCATGAACGTGATGTTTAGGCTTGTGCACTGTGCAGTGAAGAGCTTTGCAAAACAAGTTGAATTAAAATATCGTGCAAATTCTTTTTCTGCAATAACAACATTTATAACAATAGCGAAAATTTCCTGGAAATGTATGTTTCATCGACACCGAAATGAACTTGCGCGCACGTCAGCAGGGTAAATCTGCCGCGTGACACTTCAAATAATTCGGTTCTGTTTGTTCATGTTTTGAAGTGCTCAGCGTTCGCTTCTTTCATTCTTTTTCCAATTTTTCTTACTAACAAAAATCTATTTCTGCAATAATCAACAAACTAGCCAACGTATTTTCATCATATCTCACTGATTGATATAACTTTTCCTGCTGTGAACATAACCAGTTGGCTTCATTTTCGTTCTGTTACTATGAAAACGCCATCCCAGCTGCTCTTGTTCTCCTTCTCAAAGAAACACTTCCGTAGGTTTTTTATGTATTTAAATTGCTAGTTAATATCTGTGGAGAAGGAATTCTTATAAATAATTTTAAATGGAAAATGCTGAGCAATGGAACAGCAGCATACAAAATCACAACACACAACAACATGTAGCAGCATCGAACAACAACATGCAACACCAAGAATCGACAAACACAAACTATTCATTTTCAACATTTTTCAGGAAAAATGGAGTCGCCGCAACACGAAGCAAAACAAAACAATGATGTTGCGTGCTTTATTGCCAGGATAACTTCTTTACTATTTTTTTGGCAAAAATTTTTATTTGGCATTTGTTTTATTTCACTCAAAATTGTTTTTCAGACGAATAAAACTACAAAAGGCGCAGAACATTCAAGCGACGAAATTCTTCAGACCTTGTTTATGTAAGTCCTTGTGTAAGCTCCCAAGATCATATCAGTTTACGTCAACGCACTTTTATTCATTTCTCAACAAAATATTCATAATAGAAATGTCTTGAAAAACATCATACAACTTTGTGTATTTGTTATTTTGTTTATAGAGTTTTGCTAATTTAAACATTAAACGTAAAAAATGAAACGAATTTTTTAAGCTGACGGGTTGAAAGAAGAAGATTAACTTTCAAAAGGCCGTAAGCGAGCATTCGATGATGTTCGATTCACGCAGGACCACTCGTCAAACGTTACAACAGACAATCAACACCTTCTCATCAAACAAACTTCTCCTTGTGATGGGATGAAAGTTTCTATTGCAGAAATACTTGTGGGCTTACAAAAAATTACGTTAAATATTTAGAGGATAACATCCGGCACGATAGGTTCTCTGTGAAATATTTATAACAATAAATTTCCATTGAGACCATCAAAAAATGTCTATTCAGAAAAATTACTCGCAAATGTGCTCAAGCTTAATAATGACATCTGCAACTAAACTCACACGTGTTAATCTTCTTTAAACGCTATCCATCAACAACTCGGAAACATTTAGAGGTTTTCTGTGCATGTGTCTCCAACCATGTGCATGGTTGGAGACACATGCAAATGCGTGCGTACGTCATAAGATGTGAATGTTACGGTCCTTGTGGGACGGATTTTAATTGCAACTGTATGGGTCACAAACTTAAGACTTAACAAGCATTCATCATTTGAAACAAACACACGAAATAATATATTTACATTATTATTATTTACATTAGATTAACACGATGTAGTATCATTTTATAAAATTAAAAAATGTTTCAGTGAGTTTGTAATGAAATTAAAATTAAGGTTGATGGCAAGCGGCGGCTAATCAAACATAAATTCTTTCGGTAATAAATACTGGATGACATTAGTCTTGTAATAAGCGCTTGCTTGGATGGTAATTAATTTTCTAACAAATATCTAATTAGGAGTCATAAAATGTTTAATAATTCTTAGCGAGCATTTCAGAATTCTATAAAATTTAAAAATTAATTAATCGCATTCGCAAAAAAAAATTATTAACTTCGGCACTTTTTAGTTTGGTCTTATCTAAAAAATTGCAAACATATACCCAAGGATTAGATTATATGTCTAATTTGAACTAATCTGAATTCACCTGGAATGTAGCGCGAACTTATGGTTGGCAAGGTGGCAGAATCCTAACACGTGTCAATTAACTGGTGTGAAATGTAGAGGACTTCCATCTAGGTTTGTTTGTTGATAAAAAAAAATTTCTTTTTTTAAAGTTTTAAAATTCTGTGCTAACACCTCTAGGTTTGTTTGTAGATTAAAAGTGCACAACCAATGACTGTGGTCGGAACCACATCACTCCATTTCGGGGAGTTCGGAAAGAATTCTTCTCTTCGGAAAACTTCTTCCTCCGTTGATGTTGACAGCTTGATGAACTGTTGCAGTTGTGGTAGATACATTTATGAAAGACTAAATTGATGGTAACTTTTATTCTATATTTGATTACATTTTTTATTGCTATTGCAAAAATATATAGGCATGTAGATGACTATTTTTTTGTGTCCGCTTATTGTGTGTTGTTACATTACGTTATGTAAAATTACGTTACTTTATGTTACGTTATGTTACATGCTGTTACGATACATTACGTGATGTTGTGTTGCGTTGCATTATGCGCAGACGGACGAACATGCAAACATTCGCAAGCTTGTAGCAGTGCAATAAACATGTCCATATCAATGCCTAGAATGGAGGACAATTAACAATAAAATGTTATGCTCTGTTTTATGGCGAGAGGCATTGATGTTTTTATGATTGGGGGTGTATTTTATTGGGGGTGTATTTCAAAACTATTTGCTAGTGCAGACGCGGAGTTGTACGAGTTGTAATTCATGTTTGCAAATAAAAATGAGTGCATGCCATGAAGCGATAACTTTCAATTTCGAGAAACATTTTTAGTTTGTTTTTAGGTAGATGCGGATGAATGGAGGAGGCGATCATCAGTTATTGTGAAAAATATATAAAAATTTTTTTACAATTAAAAAAAACTGTTTCTATGGCGTTAAAAAATTGCAGATATTATGTTGCGTTTACCGTGGTTGTGTGCTTGCTCTTTGTCCTCTGCTTTTTATTTCCCATTTTTTGTTATCCAGCTTAGTAACAAAAAATTTCTTTAAAATATTTATTCTCTTGAGAATGAAAGTAAAAAATTAAATATTGTATATAAAAGTGAATGACAACAAAAATGTGGATATTTTCAAGGGCTCTGTTATAAAACCAATAATTACAACCACCAGAAACGCGGAGACTAGGGAATCTCCACTCTCCAGCCATACAACGGAGTTTCAAACCTATACAGGAGGTCTCACACCCATACAAGGTTTGTGGTTTTAATTAATTCAGCCTTGCCACAAACACAAATTTTCAACTTGCCGTCAGAAAGAAAATTTTTTATAAAAATACAGTTGAAGCCGAAAAGAGCATAAGAAATGCCAAACTTCCATTTAAAATAAATTTTCAAATACTAACAAAGCTAGGAAAAAATTCAATTTTCATAGAATTTTATACTTTCATCAACATTTCAAACAATGCCTGAACGCAAAATAGTTTTTTCAAACTTTTCCCCAATATAAATAATGAATGAATGACCTAAAAAATGTTTAGCACGGAGTTTCAGCACGATGATCTGAAATAATGGAGGACAAACGAGCTGACGAAGGAATGATGGAGAGGAAAAAATGGCAGCCTGCAGACAAATGTATGGCCAAGGAAAGAAACAAAGCAGGAACTATCTGTCACATGCTACATGATGCATGCTATTGTAAATCCTCTGCACGTTATTACTGTTCTTTTGCATGTTTTCTGCTCTTAAAAAAAACTAAACATATGCGAGAGGAACATTTGAAAGTTTCTGACGCATGTGACCGTCATTTTGAAGTTTTGTGGCGAATTCGTTGCAATCCACTTTCACTGCATTTGCGTTTTTTCTTGGCTATTTTATAAGTTGATCAACATTTCATTTCAAAAAAATGTCTAAATTTTAAATTCTAAATCATTTAAGAAGTAAATAAATAAAAAAAAGAAATAAATAAATAGTTAACGCCAGATAATTCAACCATAGAACCTCACGCAGTCACATGCGGATGAATGGCATATTTGAGAGACTTTATGCAAAATTCAGCACCGTTTTAATTTGTCCGATTTTTTATGTAAAAACGTCAACTGTGATTGTTTGTTTTAATTACAATTATTCAAAAAATTTTTTTTAATAAGCAATTTAACAATAGCTGGAGAATTTCTCTTACGAACTAGATCAAAGGATGCATTTGAGGCTGAGCAACATGCAGATCCTCTCAACAATCAGTCACATCTATCTAGGTATCAAATTAATTGAACTTCGCAGAGAGCAGATGATTTTGTTTGTTTGTTTGTTTTTGTGTGTGTATGTATGTGTGTGTGTGTGTGTGTGTGTGTGTGTGTGTGTGTGTGTGTGTGTGTGTGTGGTTTGTGTGAATCTTTAAAAAATTGTTTATCAGTGCGTGTGTGCATATTGGGTTTTCATAAAACCTATGAACGTTTATATTAATATGTATGAGTATGAGCATGTATGTATGTATGTATGTATGTATGTATGTATGTATGTATGTATGTATGTATGTATGTATGTATGTATGTATGTATGTATGTATGTATGTATGTATGTATGTATGTATGTATGTATGTATGTATGTATGTATGTATGTATGTATGTATGTATGTATGTATGTATGTATGTATGTATGTATGTATGTATGTATGTATGTATGTATGTATGTATGTTGATGTACAAAACAGGTAGGCATGTTGGTCTGTATGGGCGTGTGCCTGACACCTACCGACTAATTATGTGTGCAGAAATGTGTTTATTTAGGTAATGGAGGAACATTAAGAAGCAAATTGATGAATTACTGATGGCAATAAAGGATAATTTGACGTTGAAGAGGGTGGCGGTGTGGGATCAATCAGCTCCATAAATTTGTGCAACTGCATTTATCCGCAACGTACATTGTACTGTACGCGCACAACACTCGTGTGTTCACTTGTTCGCATGTTCATCAGTGCGTGCATACGTTCGTCTGATTGGAAACAACGGTGCTCTGCATTTGTTCATTTGGTCGAGTGTTGCAAACATCTTGATGTCTAGGATCTGTGACTTACAGTTTTGAAAGAGCTCCACTGCGTATTAAAACTGACGCAAAAATTGAAGGAATAAAAAAACGTTTGAAATTTATAAACAGTGTGAAAAAAATTTGGAAAATTATTCAACAGAATAAACAAAAAAAATAAAATAAAAATTAATGAAAAAATGAAAACAAAATATTATTTTGCGTGAAGTGAACATATGTCGTCTACAGCAAAGCATCTACAGCACTTTTTCCTTCCTAATTGGCTTTCAAGCGTACATCATCATAATTTTAGCTGACACCACCATTTGTTATCTTTTATTGTCTGTTAGGAAACTTGACAAACGTTTTGCAAAATGGTTCCTACAAATTTGAGTTGTTTGAAAGTTGGAGATATTTTGCTTGCATGGTGATGAGTTATTTTACTTAATGATTTGTTAGCAATGAATATATTTAGTTATTAGTTCATCAAAGATGCTTTCATTGTATAAGGACGCATTTAAAAATAAAATTCAATTATTCAAAATTTGTAAAATGTTGATCTCTTACTGCATATGTGCATGTTATGAAGAAGGCATGGCATGCTGTCGATTGCTATCAAGCCAACGTCATTAGTAGCTTTATTTTTCATGACTTTATAAAATACTTCAATATTATTACTTGGAATGTGGGCATGTGAGGCTAGATTGGGCCTAACCTTACTAGTAAATAGTACGTCTTTATGGAAATGATATAGTCATATCTTTTCCATAAATATGCTTTCCTTGGTAGTGCCCCGAGCAAAGCATATTTAGAGTTAGACCTTCATCCTGTAACAAATGTGGAATATGCATTTATTATCGAAATACATAAAAATAAAGGATGCCAAATTGAATTCTAAGTGCAATATTTGGGTGTCACATACATGCACATCTGCATTGCTCTTCATTGTCCAGATTATTATTAATTATTCACTCCTATCCATAATTGACCAAAATTTTGCAATGTTATTTGTTGTTTAAACCTGAAAGAAACATTGAAATAACAAAAAAATTCAACATTTACACCAGTTCAAAAATCGTCGCAGCAATTCATGTTTGGTGGGATTGTCCTCATTCTTCAACTGCAAGTTTTTCAATGCGCCACATTGGGGCAATTTCATTTTTGAAAGGGCAATGGGGCTTTAGGCGGAGAGTTAAATATTTAGTAAAAACGGTATGTGAGAATAGAAAAATAAGAAAAATCGATAATTGTTTGATAAAACCGCCAGAAAAGAGTCGTTAACTGTTTTTCGAACAAATGCGGGCACTAAATTTTTTTAGTAAATTTTTGGGGTACCGCGCAAAAAAGTTTGAAAACTCAAGACTGAAAAATTATTTTAATAAGAAGATGTGTTTGAGATTGAAGTGACGAACATAAACTTTCTTTACGTTTGATGAGTACATTTTGTTTAATTATTGTCATATCAACCTACCTTCGATGTCCCATGATACCCCACTCTCCATGGTCCCCCCTCCCTCCAGCCTCCTCGTTATTTGGCCTGCAACACTCCATAAATCATTACTACCCAACTACTCCTTCAACAATTATACACCTGCATGCATACCTCGTAGAGTAAATTTCTCTTTCTCTCCCTCTCTCTCTCTCTCATTCTCTTACCTTTTTTCCAGTTCTCTCTAACACACACGCACTTACACACACACACACACATACACACACACACACTTATATTATATATACACACACACATATGAATACATATACATATATCATTGTGATTGTTGATGCATGTGTGAATACGTACAACGCACATGAATGTTTGTGTACGTGAAGGAAAAATTTGCGTCGTAAAATATCTCATTAATGTCTTCAGGTAGTACTCACACGATATGCCTCTTTTTTTTTACTATCTCTGGGAAAGATTTCTTGCAAATATTTTCTTTCGCTTTGCCTTGTCTACTTTTTTAAGTTTTGCTGTTGAAGAGCAAGCAAATTTGTACGTCTGATTCTAATTTTTAAAGAATAACAAAAAAAAAAAAAAAAAAAATTTGTTGATTGTTTAGGAGGAGTGCATCTGCCGAGAGGGCATTGTTGGCGTAATGTTCAGTCGCCATTCAATGTTATCAGAGTTGTAAATATTGAGGCAACTTGCTATTATGTTGCGTCCGCAATATTTGATGGGTGGTCGGTAGTGGTGGTCGGTAATGGTGGTCGGTGGTGGTGAGAGGCTGGTGGTGGTGTAAAAAAATCTATCACCTATTTTTTCTGTTAGCTGGTCGTGACGATGGTGATGACGATGACGACGATGATGATGATTATAATGATGAGGAGGAGGATGGTGATGGTGATGATGATGATGATGACGGTAGTGATCATGCTGACAATGATGATGATGACGAAGTATGTGATGTAGATGATGAAATATTTGATAACGGTGACGATGATGATATCGTGGCTATTAGGATAATGATGGTACCCGTGATAAACATTGGTGGAGATGAATAACGATGATGATGATGTGGATGACGACGATGATGATGACGATGATGGTCATGAAATCCTGTTGGCGTTAATAAGCATGCCTAACTTGATAACAACTGACAAAAATCGTTAGCGGCCACAGAACGTTCGACAGATTTCACTTCAGATAAATTCTACGAAGTCTGCGCGATTGATGATAAAAAAAATGCTTGGAGTCGGAAGGAATGTGATAAAACTCCAGTCAGTGTGGAAGAAATGTTTTCTGTGTCTTAATAAGTTTCACCATCAACGGCTCCTTCATAAGATTCTCAACAGATTAAATTGCACTAATGACTCCTTGGTTCACTAATTCCAAACAAAACCGTGCTTAAGAGGGTTGCTTTTTTATGTTTAAAAAGCCTCGCTAAACAAGTATGTTATTAAAAATAACTGATGCATGTGTGTTATTGTTAAGCGTGTGTGTGTGTGTCTGTTGTGTGCGTGTGTGTGTGTTGTGTATTTGTCTGTTGTGTGTGTGTTTGTGTGTGTTGTGTGTTTTCGTGTGTGTTTGTCTATTGTGTGTGTGTGTGTGTGTGTGTGTCTGTTTTGTGTGTGCGCGTGTGTGCGTGCGTGTGTGCGGATAATATTACTGTTGTTGTCTTTGCGGTCCACTCCACAGGTTTATGTCGGCATTAAAAAGAGGTAAGTTATTCTCTTACCATCAAATGTTATTTTCCGTTCAATGTTATTTTTGGGCGAAAATGTTTGTTTTAAGACTATCAATGGAAAATTTTAAGAAAAAAACAAATTTTTGATAGTATGAAAATAAGTAGGAGAGGGAAGGTTGATGTAAAACCCTCGTGAAAGTGATTGAAATTGCTTAGAAAACAAAGGTGCGTCATCTGTAAAAAAAATTTGGCGATTTTCAAAAACATCAAATGATCACACATGCACACAGCCACAACAACTGCTACGACAACAACAAAAACTACAACATCAAGAAGAACTGTGGCAAAAACAACACGAACAACAACAACAACAACTATGAACGCAAACAACGCATCGACGCAAAAGTTTCGCGACAGCGCAGCGTCAAATATGGAAGGACACACGCCAGCCACACTCGCCTCGCGTGAGATCAGCGAATGATATGATGAGGGGGCATAAATTTTAACGACCCAGCTTAAACACCGACATTCTCTTTCTTTTAACGACGGACATATTGTTTTTAGGGTCATTCTAAACACCTAATAACCAGATTATGCCAACAGTAAGTCAACGTTTCGTGCGCTACTTTCTACAAAAGAAAGTGTTGATGCGTTGTTGTTGCGTTGTTTTTGTTGTTGTTGCGTTGTTTTTGTTGTTGTTGTTGCGTTGTTTTTGTTGTTGTTGTTGCGTTGTTATTGTTGCTGCTGCTGTTGTTGTTGTTGTTGTTGTTGCTGCTGCTGTTGTTGCATTGTTGTTGTTGTTGCGTTGTTGTTGCGTTGTTGTTGTTGTTGCTGTTGTTGTTGCGTTGTTGTTGTTGTTGTTGTTGCTGTAGTTTTTGTTCGTTATGTACATTTGAATCTTGTTAATGTTTACTTTTCTTAGTTTTCTTTGTGGTTGTTGATGTTGTTTCATTTCATCATTAAAGTCATGTTTTTCAAATTTTATTAGTTGAAAGGAACGTTAATATTTAAAATAATATACTGCCCTCTTAATGTTTCACTAAAAAGCATTTATACAATTACGTGATTGTAATGAACAACCAACATTATTTTTAATCATTATTTTTCAAGAAATATTTTTGTGTTAAGAATTTTTCAACAAGATATTATGTTTGCTGTTGAAAATTTAAGCAACACTAACACTTTTTTAAATAGTTCCGACATTTTTGTTAAGAATGCAACATTTTTTATTAAGGAGCCAAAACTTTGATTTCAAAGACATTAATTTTTATGTTGTGTCAATTTCGTTTTTTATTTTTGTTTTGTTACCTGAGAAATAATAAAATGGGCTTTTTATAATTCAAACTAGGAAAAAAGTATGAATGTTTCGAAATTTTCATCTACCAAATTATTTATTTACACTTGCTTGAACATCAGAAGTCATTCTCTGAAAACACAATGCATCACATCCAGTGTGATGCATTCACTCTTTGCTCATTCCTTTTAAAGTTTTGTCATTCTTTTTAACGTTAAATCACTTTTTTTTTAAAGTTTGGTCACTTACTTCTTCTTACTAAAAATTATCAGTAGCGGATCGAGACCACTTTGGCATGGATGGGGGGCACAATTTAAAATTTGGCAATTAATTGAGACAAATTGAAGCAAGTAACTAACCAAATTTATGCTAATGTGGCCAAAATTACGCTGGCAACCTTTTTGGTTTATTACGTCAATTAAATTTTGGTTGATTTTTTACTTAAAACGACGTTTTTTCATGTAAAAATTGAGTTTTACAGACTTTGAATAAAAATACTGCCCCCTTCCACCTAGATCCGCGCTGGAGACCACTGTCCTATTCTAAATCAACAAAGTATAGTGGCGTTAGGTTGGTCAGTTTAGTTGCAAAATTTTCTATTTTAATTTTATCTGATCGGCGATATAGTGTATGTAGAACATGACGCGCACGTAAAATCATTCGGACAGGCAGCATTCGGAGAAGGTCATCACACCGCACCAAGCGAGGCATGGCACTCCTAATGACTGGGATGATTCATCAGCCAAGCATCAATCAAACATCATGAAAATCATTCATCCAATAATTGAGAGTTGAGCTTTCGAAAGGTTTCACCAAATTGTTTGAAAAAGTATCAAATTAAAAAGTTGAAAAACATTCTGAAACTAACTACCTACTTAATCACCTACCTACCTACCTACCTACCTACCTACTTACCTATCTACCTACCTACCTATCTACCTACCTACCTACCTACCTACCTACCTACCTACCTACCTACCTACCTACCTTCCTACCTACCTACCTACCTACCTACCTCCCTACCTTCCTACCTACCTACCTACCTTCCTACCTACCTACCTACCTACTTACCTACCTACCAACCTACCTATCTACCTAACCGACACAGATCAATCATTCATTTAAGTTTTCAACAGGATCCATTTAAACTTGCTTTGTGTATTACTGTTTGATGAAGTTCTCTATGAAACAACTTTCTCTTACTACATATACAAATTTGTTTTCATAAAAAACGAAAAAAAACCAAAAATACCACTAAGCCGTTCAAAACACTTATTGGATCAAAAGTTAATAAACAACCATCACAACAGTAAACGTGAACAAGCAAATAATTAAACGATTGATTAAATAATAGTTGAAATAACAACAATAACGAAATTAATTGACTCGCAGATGGTGAAAAGGCTACTTAAATATCCAGAAATATCCAGTTAAAAGACCTACTGATATTTCCTTATTCGACCTAGGGAACATAGTTGCATGATAACTCGAATGCAGGCCAGTAATGAAGTGATCCTGGAACAATCGTGACAGAATTCAATTTAATTTAAATTCTTTCACTCTACTCAATACCGAATTCCAAACACTAAAATTGAAAAATTCAATTGAAATCCATTTTGGAATAATCATCATCCTCTATGTATTGTATCTACACTACATCATCGTCGTCCTTGTCATCATCTAATTTTCAAAGTTGCTATCATCATCATCATCGTCCTTATTATCAATATTATTATCATCACCATCATCATCATTACCACCATCGTCATCATTCTCCTCACCATCATCATCATCATTATTATTATTCTTATTATTATTATCATCATTAATGGAATTATATTCAAAATATTCGATAATATCCAAGACAGTCTAAAATAATATTTATAAATCAGTTTTAACATTTAAGTGCCTGCCCTATTAACTGGCAACACGCATAAATAGATCCAAATTATTTCAACTGCTTAACGTATTTCGATAGTATATAAAACATTTGATAGTCAAACTGACATTTCAAGAATGATTTCTACTGTTTCAGTGAGATGACATACGAAGCATCGAGGCAGAGAATGAACAAACAAAATTGTTTGCAATGTTCATCCAAGCAAACATCATAATGTTCATTCAGGCAAACATTACAAGCTGAACCTTAAATAGGGTCGCTAATTAGATTTTTCTTGCTTGTTAACTCTTCTTCACCTCTCGTTAAGAATCACGTACACAGACACACACATCAGTCAGTCTACTCATGCTTTTGCTTTCTAACTATCGGGCTATAATAAAATGTTCGTCATGTTAGTGATCGCCCTCTAACACAATTATAACTATTCTACTTCATGCCTGGTTATTTTTCCTTCCATTTAGATAGTTACACTCCAATGAAAATCATTTCACGAGCAGTTCAGTTGAAACATTCAAGTGGAATTCTTACTATATTAATTATTTGAAATTCAGAAAAATCACATGAGTTACGCGTGTTCGCAAATGTTTTTAAAATGAGTTAAATGTAAAATTCCTTAATGGCAGTTTTGAAATGTTAGCTGGTTATTTAATTTGAAATCGGTTAGTACATAACTAAAATCTGCTAATTTCTAAAAAATCTCTCAACGTGCGTCTGCTATATTTACATTTTGAAACCAGTCGAAAGTTAACACGGCGAAACACACCTGTGAGAAAAAAAACTTTAAAAAATTAGACAAAATAATCGCTGTTGAACTAGAACGGGTTTTCTAACAAATCAGCTTAAGATTAAAAATCTATCTCATAAAAAACTGCAAAAAACTCAAATTTTTCTCTATTAAAGCAAAAATTGACTTAAATCTAAATCAATGACCAGCAGTTACATACATAGGTTGCGACAAACTTCTTATGAGGTGTGTGAGGTATGCGCCACGACGGGATGTACAATTATGTTTACATTGTCCCACAAATTCAGTATTAATGCGAGGAGGTATCAATGCGACAGCAAAAAAGCCTTCGGATTCATCAACGTTCTCCACATCCAAATTCACGTTCACTCGTGTTCAGTTATTGAATTTGCATGAAAAAAAATGAATACCTGATGAGTGGTTGCTGCTGCTGCTGCTGCTACTGCTGCTGCTGCTGCTCAGAGTTGTGATGCAATTGGGGAAGAGGAGGAAGAAGATGATGTATCTTGTTGGTGATGCTCTTGATGATGATGTTGGCATTGAGGAGAAAGGTAACGATGATGATGATGATGATGATGATGATGACGATGATGATGATGATAATGATGATGGTAAAATTGACGATAGTGTTGGTGATGATGTTGATGATGTTGGTGATGATGCTGGTGAAGATAGCGTCCTTCCTATCTTCTTCATGCTTATCAATTTGATTTTGTTGGAATGTTGTGATTTGTTTCTTTGACGTTGTCGACGTTGTTGTTGTTGTTGATGTTGTTGTTTTTGTTGATGTTGTTGATGATGTTGTTATTGCTGTTGATGTTGTTGTTTTTGTTGATGTTGTTGATGATGTTGTTATTGTTGTTGATGTGGAAATTGTTGATAAAGTTGATGTTGTTGTTATTGTCTCCTCATGTGCTTGCCGTCGTGGTAGAATGCTTTAAATGCAGTTTATGATGTTGACGTTTTTTAATATTGCAATTGTTGTCATTGGTGTTTGTAATGTTGTTGCTATTGGTTTCTCGGTATGAGGATTGATAGAGTTCGAACCTTAGCATGAACCTTAGAAAGTTGCATGAAATCATTCTATTGGTCATTTTAGACTCCTAATTGTTTTGTATTGACAGTTAATGGAATAATATGAAAACAATTTTATATGATGCTTTGTCGTTGTTGTTGTTGGTGTTTTTTTCTATTATGAGGTTTGTATGTTGTTCTGGTGCTGTTGTTAGCGAAGAATTGATGTTTTTGTTGAGACGCACATTTTTGAATATATTGAATTACACGTCGGTATTTTATTTCTAAAATGAGTAAAATTTAATTTATAAAAATTTTTAAAATGTAGAATAATTTTTATCCAATCCAAAAGCGGTTGTCATGTTCAATAACTGAGTGGCTCTTCAACGAGTTTATGAGTTTATGCTGAATGTTGTATGTACATGTTCCTTTCCTTCGAGTTTATGGTAGAATATTTTTCATTCTTTTTTTTGCTCTGTTGGTTTAACATTTTAAATAAAATATTTTTTCATCGTCTAAATAACCTACGTTCAGGATTTATTCTAAATTTAATAAACTTGAGATTTTTTAGAGTTTAGTCATTTAGCACAAATTTAGTTTATTTATTAATTTTAAAGTTTCCATAACTAATACATGCAATGAAACATTGTTTAAAATTTTGTTAGTAAAATTTAATTTAAAGTTTAATTTCATATCTTCCCAAATTGGAGACGAAGACTGAGACCCGTGCATGCATGCTTCGGGCAAATCGGTTCAACCAGAAACTTCATTCAACGGTTCGTTACAGACAGATGGTTTTTTTTTATTGACATGAATTGTAAATGTTTAAATCAAATAAAATTTGACTAAAATTAAAAATTGAAAAAATTCTTAACGAAAAATAATTCTCATGGGACATTTTCAGTGTAGTTATTATGCTCACACCACTTGGCTGAATGTTTTATGACGATTGTAACAAAATAAGATGAAATAATTTTAATTTATTATAACTCAACCGGAAGGGCACATCAAATCAGAAATTGAAACATCAAATCCCATCGAAAAACAAATTAATTTTTTGTGTCGACACAGAACATTCCAAAAAGTGTGATTCGGAAGACAGGAAATTGACAGCAGGCCTCACAGTGTCTTGAAATAATTGCCAACAGGTGCATGCTAAACTTTTGTCGCTGCCTGCCTTTCCAAACAAACATCAGCCGGAAATTTTTATAAACAATTTAAATAAAAAAAAACCATTCACTGTTCCTCTACCTTATGTGATTTCTCTAACAGCGCAGTACTTTTAATAACATTACATTAATATAGCATGATATTATAACATGACATAGCACGATGATCGAGTAATTTCGAATTTCAAAACTTTTTCATTTCGGCAAGAAAAGGTTTCAATCTCAGCTGCTTAAATTTAAGAAGTCTGATCTACCTGCCCATCTAGCAAACTCAACGACATGAGTAACTTGAAGAAACGTCTGAAAAATGCTCTCCTCAGCCTCCAACAAGCAAAAAAATGAAGAGTAAACTTCTGAAGTCAACTTCTGAAGTCAACTTCTGAAATCAACTCATGGGAAATCCTGCAACAAATCGGCTTACAATTTCAGTCGAACCTCTTTATAGCAAACTTCTCTACAACGAAAATCTCTGTATAACAATTTTTTTGTCTATTGGAATTTTACATACAAAACTTTTTCTTTATAGCGAAAAAAAAATTTTTATAACGACAAAATTTGTTAAAAAAGAAATATCCGACCAGCAAACATTTTATGAATTGTTATGATCGGTGTTTTTGGATTTATTTTAATATCTTAGAACCGTATTAATTGTTTATTTGTTCTAGTATTCTTGTAATTATTGCGAATTTTACCTCGAATAATTTTTGTGAAATCGGATTTTTCGTTGCCCTAGTTTGATTTCCAGAAGCAGTCTGGATGTGGCCCTGTTTCTCGAGAGTGTCAGGAATTTAAAGGGCTTAACACTCGTTGACGGAAACTCTTCCTCTGAAGAGTCTTGCTGAATGCTCGTTATGCTCAGGTTTCTACATACACGCGTTTTTTATTCGTTAAACAATCGTTTAGTTTTCAATCAAAAAAGCTTCAGTTGGATTAGAAAGAGAAACTTTGAGAATTAAAATTATTGAAACACAAATTGGATTTTTATGAAATGAACTATATAAATTAAAAAAATCACATAAATTTTTTGAGATGAGTTAGATAAAAATTGATTTGTAGTGCGGACAGATGCCAATGATAAGAGGAGCATGGTTTCGTGATGTGAACAAATGTCAAAAAATTCCGTGCTAAATACTTTCTAGCCCTTTAAGGGTTCTATATTATTTAGAATTTTATTTTCTTTTTTAGAATCCCTTTTCATGTTTTGTTTTTACGCTTCATGAAATAAAATTGTTTAAAAAAACAGTTGTCGTTTGTCAAACGAGTCGATGCACTGAATACTTTTCTTTTAAAGAGAATGTATTTTGGGTTTTCAAACTGATAATTACAAAGTTATCTCTGAAAAAGATTTTTAATTTAAAAATTCTATTACACTTTTTATAGAATTAAAATGAAAGATATTTTTGCTTTTGGAGAAATAGTTTTGAGAAAAAGCTTTTTATTAGCTGACAACACGACCATTTTTTAAATGCTTGATGTAGCGTGGTAATGAATCCAGTTTGAATCCAGGTATTAAATGAATGGATGGAAAAATTGGAACGTGAGGAAGGCACGAACAACATCAACAAAGGATATTTCGCAATTTAAACTTTAAAATTCAAAGATTTCAAACTTACGTTAAAAAACAATGTGCTCAGCATTGAAATAAATTAAAAATTGAAGTAATCCATAAAAAGGTTTAGCATGACCAGACGGTAAAATATTATTTTGTTTCAAAGAAATTCAACTTTTTTATTCAATGTTGATTGCAAACGAAATTAAAACACTGGAAATCTTTTGAAGGTAGCAATAATTAAATTTAATGACAAGATGAGATTGCTATAAAGATGTTCAAAGTGTCAAGCCGATATTAAAAAGAGGGTTGTCATGGTTTAACTCATTTTATGATGTTTAAAGGAGTGCTTACATCCAGTCTGTTTTAATACTCATGTTTCGAAATGGCTTGCAGAGCAATTAAGTTTTGAATATGTGCATTTTTGTGAAATGTGACAATTTGTATAAGGAATGAAATTCATCGCTATAATAAAAATTATATCAAAATGCACAAATTTCTGTGCTTGTTCTCACTATCAACTGCGTTGCGTGTCTAAACTGGTGAACTTTGGATAATTCACACAGCCCCAACTTAACTGCAATAAACTTCCAGAGGTTAGTTAAAGAAGTGCAAACATTAATTCGCGTGAAGATGGGTCGTAATGACGACACGCCATCATCATGTTTGCATCATTCACCGTGGGTATCGCAAGCCACAAAAAAACAGACTGGTACTTTTTATAAATTCTTATTATCCATTATATTGTAATTAACCCATCAGCAAGTTTAATTTGTACTCAGTTGACGTCAGAACGCCACATGAAATCATCTTTAGTTAAAATTTTGAGTCCTCTCCATGAACAACATTTTCAACTTTTTTCAATTTTTTCAACGTTCTTATAAAAATAATAAACAATAACCAAACAGCATGGTTGAATCATTTATGAGCTGCCCCGACACATCCAACTACGCTTGTTTTAATGTTTGGCGCTTTTTAGAGCTTCATTCAAAATGTACTCCCCAAATAAAATAACTCAGAATTAAAGTGAAAAGTTTTTGAGCTTTAATGAATATTTGATCTGCGACAAACAGTTTCGTGAAATATTTTACTGTTTAAAAAAACGCGATATGTTCAGTCACAAACATTTTAAAAAATTTTTCCAGTACTTCAGATTTACAGCATCTCAAGCTCACAATCAGTTTTGTGAAAAAAAATTGTTCACTTAAATTGGTCAACCTTCTTATTAAATCAGATGACAAATTTTAGAGGGAGGAGCTGAAATGAAATTCAAATGCTGAACCCTTTGAGGCCGAATTAAATGAGGTAGCAAGGTCAGGGTGTGAAGTCAAAGTATTGTTAATAACAAAACTTTTCTTGTAACATATTCAAAAATAATCACATATATTTACTAACTTTTCTACGTTGGCTGATAACTCGCAAACAGCGCTTCCAACATTTTCAGAGAATATATTTAAGTTCGATTTGATTGAAGCAAATATTTGTATAGAAGCATTTTATAATTCAACATTTGTGTGTTTGTTACTAGGATGGAATTATTTTTTAAAGCAGTATCCTGATGTCAATAAATTCATATATTTTATGCCAGGGAGAAGCAGTGAGGAGTTACAACAACAAAAATTTAGAGATGCAAAACGTGGCCGCCAAAAAATCGCGAAACAATGCAAACCGTTTAGTGAATATGACAACACGAGAGACATTTTACTGGACGTAATACATGCACTGCTCCTCGCCTGTATGTAGCGATGGCCATCCGTGCATGTTCTATTGAAAATATACACGTTCCAGTATGTTCCGCCCATAAGCCGCATTCGCTCGAGTACTCGTTACGCATACGAAGAAATTAAAAACTAATCTTTGCACATATTTACAAACAATTATTCATTTATACAAGTCAGAAAAAAATTAAACAAGAAGGTGTTTAAATTGAATTGATAGATGAGTGATTAAGATACGAAGCATTGAGTTTTTTTTATTAAAAAAGCAATTTTTTGCAGCACACTACAAACTGTGTGTCTCAAAATAAGGAGTCCTAATTTGGTGATAGTGTGGCATGTTATATTGTCAATGATGGGCTAGAGGTTTTGAAGAATTGAGTAGGTACATTTATTGTTGAAAAAGTTGAAATCTGAGAAAGAATGTCAAGGAAAATGTCAATATAAATATTCATTTAATAAATTTTCATTTAATGATTGATGTTGGCAATGCTCCATGTCACTCTAGTGTGGCGAAGCATAAAAACTTGCAGATCTTTTGAACGTCTTACCAAGACATAACAGGACAACAATGTCTGTCAAAAATTACAAATTACGGCGGATCTTGACAACTTTGACGGGGAGGCCCAACATGTGATCAAAATTAGGCTGGCCACCTTTCTCTTTAAAAAGCGGTGCTTTTTCTGTGAAAACATTGACTTTTACTGACTTTTAATACAATAATTAATCACAACTAGATCCTCCACTGTACCTAACATATTATATTTCACATCAGTCTTATAAGCCATCAGTAGAACCGCAATTCTTATCAAAATTTTAATATAACACATAGGTGAAAATAAAATATCAATGATCTTCATTTAATAACGTAACGAAATTAAAAATCTACAAGTAAAATATCAGTGTATATAAATGGCATTACTAAATCAAAAGAAGAGGAACATTCAGTAGGGCTGATTTAACGACAATTCACATTAAAAGTCGTTTACATCGTTAGTCTACAGGCAGCATATTTCTTTCACTAATTTTTAAAAAAACTTCTATGTTATAAATACATACAATCTGAAAATGAATTGTCCTACAAAAATTGAAGATTTAAAAACATTCAATTTTTAAAATGGTTCACAAAAGATATATATATATATACACATTTTTTTAATTGTTCAATATTAATATTATAATTAGTGAAGCATTTCATGATTTATGATAGTAGTAACTTATAGATTTCGTACATAAATTTTAATAATTGAGTTTTTTATTTTTAAATCAAAGAGAGAAAAACTGCATGCTTCATAGTGGCAACAGATAAACGAACGCCTATTCTACATAACTAAATAAATATCGGATAAAATAATTATATGCTTTTTTAAATGGATTATACCCAACTTTTACTATCACCCATAAAATCCATAATTTACGTAAGAGTATATCAAACTATTTTACAATCGTTACCAACTTTAAAAAGAATAATTTGAAAACTGTATTTGCAGGCACGTCACGGTCAATTTTATTCAATGCCACCGATGACAAACACTCGGGCGCCATGCATCTCATTGATGAGTTCCTACCGAATGCATACAACATGCACACAGTCTGCCAACTTTTTTTCAACATACTGCTGAAAGGAAACTTTCCTAAAATTTTTGAGTGATTCATTGTTATATATGTATATGTATGTACGTGTGTGTGTGAGCGCGCGT